TGTGCTTCCTGTCTTTCCATTCTACTATCCTCATCATGTCAGCAATATATCATCCCATAGTCACACATTGTTGCAGCAGTTCTGGTATCACAAGGAATTGGGATATCACATCCAATGAAGAAGATGGACATTTACTTGGGTTGATCAATTTTTCTTAGGAAGGCGTATCTTTCCTTCACGTCCCCAGGAGTCTTCTCCTCAGGTTCTCATTGGCCCAGACTGGACCATGTGATTCTTCCTTTGGCAAAACCTATGGGAAAACATATGTTTGTCATTTGCATCTTCTATGGTGAAAAGAGCTCTGCCAGAAAGAAAAAGAAATTTGAAATAATTTTTGGTAAGATAGTCCTTTCCAACTTTTCCATGCCATGGTCTATAGATAAAGTGTGATAATATTTACATGGCACATTGGATAAGCTAGATTGGCTTTGGGGGAATCTTTATGGGGTTTGCTTAAAAATTATTCTCCTTACATTATACAATTATAAAGAAAAAATAAAATGGGAAGATGTCAAAAATTGTAACACCTTTCAAATAAAACCTTTCAAATGTTTATTTAAAAATGAAAATAAACTATCATATCACCACTTCGAATATCCACAATTAACTTTCTGGGACCTTTTCTACACATCCACATATTCTTCGATAATTGTTGAATTCAGTCATTCATTTATATTTATTTCAATCCAATCATTATTTGTATTCTGATTGTAATCAGCTTTTTATAAAAGCTACTTTGAAATCTTCCTCATCACAATATGTCCATATTACAATATCACTGTTAAAAGATTAAAAGAATTCAAGTGTATGATTACACTTTAATGTAACCAAGCTAATAAATATTGATACTGCCTTCAATTTATTTCTCTTTTGAAATATATTTTAATAGACATCCTCAAATATTTTGTAGAAGTAGAATTTCTTAAAAACTGCCAATATACACACAACGGCAAAACTTCCATTTATCTATTTAATAAATAAGAACCAACTTGTATGCCAGGCCCTATTCTGGTCACTTATTTAAAAAAAAGAAGGGAAAGGTAAAAATTTATCTCGTGATGCTTACACAGTAGTGTATGAGAGGGTCCATTTTCCTGGAATCATAATATTGTTGGGGCTTTAAAAATCTTTGCTACTTTGATGGGGGGAGGGGAATAGTTATTTTAATGTTTTATTGCTAACAGATTATTTTTATTATTACTTACTGGTTATTTGTATTTAATGTTCACATTTTTTCTTTGATTGCATATGCTAACCAACACCTATGTATGTTAATGTAAGGCAATAATTTTCACAAGAGAAAAGTGTTATTTAAAAATTGTATGGCTAATTATAAATATTTGTTATGGTAATTTAGACCGTTTAAAGTAGAAGTTGACCTACAAATTTCCTTTAAAAAAAAATCACCAAATTGAATAATCTGAAAGATATAAAAGATATAAAAGATTCAAAGATTGAATATGAATAATGTGACTGAAAATAATCAAATTCCTGATATTATTTTTTAATTGTGTGTTTGCACTTAAAAGAGCTGGCATTCTGAATTTACATATCATTTAGTTAGGAATACCAATCAACCTTTTACAAAAACCGTGTCACCTATAGAACAAGCAATCTTAAAATCACAACTGCATTTTCATTTTGGTTATAATTACCATTTTTACCTTTCATGAACTAAACAGCACAGGGATAAGATAATTCTCTAGAAAATAGTCTTCCCAGAGCTGTGTCTACTGGACTTAAAAAATGCTATATGTTTTTGCAGTTTAGAAGAACTCAATTTGCAAATGATGGCGGTGATACTTCCTTCTCCCTCCCATCCATGTAGCTTTTATTAGTCATTAATCAGCAATGGAGATTTGAAAGACTGTTCTGAGTGTTGGTTTGCTCAGGGTGGTGATGTCTCTTCCAGTTCACCATCAAACCCAAAGTTTCAGTTTCACCAGCAACCCTACAAGTCCAGCTGGGGGGTCTCTTGCAAGGGTTGGTAGAGTAAGAAAGAGATTGCTGTGATTCGTACATTTCCTGTCTTCTCTGACATGTTTCCTAAATGAGCTAATGAATTTAAAGTGCCTAGCAATGTACTTCGAGGCACACTGGAAGCACTCAAAAACACTGTTTGCCTTTCCTATGCCTTAATGCTAGCTCATATTCACTGTGGCTTACTGTGTGCCAGGAATACAATAAGCATTTAAAATTTTATCAAAGTCCTGTAAGGTGGTGCTATTATTTTTCTCATGTTACATATAAGGGAATGGACCCTTGGAGAGGTCACATAATTTGTCTAAGATGATCTAGTTAATTATAGTACCTAGAACTCTGAAACACAACTCTCTTGCCTCTGACATGCTTTAGTGGGCTGCATCTTTGTATAACGTACAGAGAAGACTGGACATTTAGAAATGTTTTTTCTCTCAGTAACATGCAACTACTTTGATTTTTAAAAAAACTTCTGTATCTCTCTCTGTAGCCCATAGTACAGACACCCAGTGATCTTACTGGCTGCCTGGAGATAACTTAGGCGAGATTGCCTCTTGATATTGAAATGAAAAGAATCTGTAACAAAAACCTCTAGGGGCAATTTAGTTTAAAAGCTGGACTTCAAAAGTCCTTTATGGGTATAAAGAGCTGAATTGTATTCCCACCCAACCAAAATCATATGTTGAGTCCTAACTCTTGGTACTTCAGAATGTGGCTATATTTGGAAATAGGGCCTTTAAAGAGGTAATTAAGGTAAAATAAGGTCATGTGGGTGGGCCCCAATCCAATATGACTGGTGTCCATATAAGAAGAGGACTAAGACATAGACTCACACAAGAGGAAAGACCATGTGAAGACATGGGAAGAAGGCCATTTACACAACAAGGAGAAAAGCCCTCAGAAAAAAAACAACCATGCAAATGCCTTGATCTTGGACTTCTAGCTTCCAGAATCATGAGAACATAAATTTCTGTTGTTTAAGCCACCCAATCTGCAGCACACTGTTACAGCAGCTGTAGCAAACTAATACAGTTGGAGTTAGATAATTACTGGTATCTGAAATTAACAGCTTTCCTGATTATTCAAAGTTCCCTTTTAAAAAACAGAAATCTTGGCCAGAAAAATAAACAGAAGTATTTATAGGTCAAATGCTATAACTACTTGAATTTTCAAGTAATTTCACAAGTTATTTTTTTATACTGGAATTTTATTGCCCCAAATGGAACTTCACTTAGAGGATCAGTGATTGGGACCTTGGCACCTTACATATTCGCTTTAGCTTGATGATGCTTATGGTTGCAATATTTGATCTGAAGGCAAATTGGAGATGCTTTGTGGATTTCTTCAAACAGCTACTTGAATACACTTACCATGGAAAGAATAAACTTTTGCAGGTTCTCACTAAATTTGTTGTAGCCAGCCAAATACAGTAGTGCCTGAGAAATTATGGCAATAACTCCCATTAAAATCAGAAGAAAGTATGTGCATGACTAACAGAAACAGAAATCTCAACAAAGAGAGAAAAACTGAAGAACAAACCTTACCCAAAGATATTAAAAGGGATTGTTTCTAACAGAAGTCCCTTTGACTTTCAATTCAATAAATATTTTTGAAGTGCATGCATGGTATTATGGTAGGAAATAGAATTTAGAAATTCACCCTGACTCTGACCTCAAATATTTCTTACTATGATATGAGAGAAAAAGATACAGACACAAATAGCCATTTCATGTAGTCTTTGATAAAATCTGTAATGGAAATAAAAAAATGTAATGAAATCAGAGGACAGAGGTCGTTCTGGCTGGGGCATTGGACAAGACCCTCTGGGAGAGACGTTTGTCAGGTCTGGAGGTTGTGCAGCATTTACACAGGTGGGGTTGTAGAAGGAGGAGCTTTCTAGGCAGGGGGATTAGCACAAGGAAAAACAGATGTTGTTGAGTGCAAATCATGTTCAATGAAAAAGTAGGAATCTGACCTGCTTACATGAGAGGAAGTATTGAGAGGATGGGGCCACTGACCTTGCACTTGAAGTTAAAGGACCTGAGTTTGAGTCTTGTGTTCCCCATTTACTAAATTTATGACTTCAATCTCCTGAGCCTCATATTGGTCATCTGTGAAACAGAAATAATGATTCAAACCTCAAAATTATGAAGATTAAAAGTGAAATCTGTATGAAATCTCTACCTAGCCAAGCCTAATACAAAATAAAAATTCAGCAAATGTTAGTTGAAACTAAGGAGTTTAGACTTGAATCTATAGAAAACAAGAGGCAATAAGATTTTAAAGCATAAAAGTAAGATGACCAGAGCTAGACATTTGGAAATGTATGCCAGCGATACTGTGTGTAGAATGAATTAGAGGGCAGACATTATGCAAGAAGGGAGACCTGTTAGGAGAGTATTAACAACAGTATAGCTTTGAAGCAATGGGAATCTGATGCAGGGCTGTGCTGGTGGAACAGGAAGGAGGTGATGGATGTGAGAGTTAGGGCACATGGCACCAGGATATGCAGCCTGGGACATAGATTGTTGTTCAGAGATTCAGATCCTGGTCCTGAGGCTCTTTTCTTAAGTAGTGGCATGACCTCTGTTGAGCTACGTAACCTCTGTGTGTGGATTCCAAGTGTTCTCATCTACAAAATAAATAGAGATTGGAAAATCTCTATTCTTACAACATTAAAATACTTCATGTCTACTTGAATCAATAAAACTTATTAAGTTAATTAGATGAGAAAGTAAAAAAGCAAAAGAGAGAGAAATTGAAGATAACACAAAGCAAAAAGCTTAAACATAAGTTAGCGTGTCAGTAGATAATGTTATTTCTAGGAATATGGAAGAGAGGAAAATAAATAGGTTTGAAGGAGAATATGATGAATGTCATTTCTAACAGTTTGGAGGGCTGTTCTTCAAACAATTAAACTTTTTGCTTTATGAATATTCAACAAATTACTTATTTTATATTATCTCGTACCATGTAAACATCAAATTTGAAAGCAAATATTTTTTTCTTTAAATTTATAGATTCTTTTCATTGGTGACTCGACCAACAGAGGGATAATGTACTATCTGATTGAAAGACTGAACGAAACCTTGCAGGAATGGCAGAAGGTGCATGGCACTAAATTCTATCACAATGTCAATGGTGGGAAGACGTTGATCAGTTATTCCTACTATCCCCAGTTCTGGATAAGCCCTTCATTGAGACCAACATTTGAAAAAGCACTTGAACATCTATTGCAAAGGTACAATGAAACTATTATGAACTGCACAATGCCACAAAGTACTGATGTTTTACTGGCGGTCATAATTTCTCACTGTATATCAAATGCGCTGAAAAGCTTAAATCTCAAGTAATATGGCTGAAAATGAGTTGGAAATGACAAGGAGGTCCTGTGATCAGAATGCCAGATATGGTTCAGTGAAATGTGAGGCAACGCTGTTAAAATGTTTACCATCTGTTTCACGGCAACATGTGTTGTTTTCTTTCTGGGTTTCAGATCACGTCCCCTGGAGAACACGGGCCAGACTGTGTTGGTCGTTGGAGGCGTTCAGTGGCTTAATTCCAATCACCTGCAAATTATTCACAAGGTTTTGAAGAGGTACATTTCTGCAACAATAATTGTCATTAGAATTCTACGTAAAAAAAAAAAAAATTACCCTTGATGTGACTGAATTTTGTCGTGATTTTATTTAAAGAGCAACTCGTTGTTTAGAAGTAAGTACTTAAGGTCTAGTTTTAAATATTTCAAAATACTTTTGTATCATTACAAGACCTGTCTTCAGTATCCAAATTTACATTTACTACAGATTAAAACATGCCCACTGACATAAAACTCTATCCACACAAAAAGCTAATATACATCAAATCTACAAAAGAAGAATTTAGTTTGATCTGCCAATTATCACATTCTAAAGGAATTCTACTGTATTTGTTTATGTAAACAAAACATAGAAAAAACACAAATATCTAGAAATGTAATCAAAGTTCATGACTTTAGAATTTTGATTACCTCACAGAGAAAATTTACTCAATATCCTTGTGATCATCAAAACTTTGGGAATCGGATTTCATCTGCCAGTGGATGGAGTACATTTCTTAACACAGGTAAGCCCATTTCCTTCAAGCTGTGTGAACTTTATGCTTCCTCTAAGGATCTAGGCTGGTGTCTGAAAAAAGAACTAAAAGGCATCATGTAATATTCAGCAACCTTCATAAAAACCAAAGGAGATAATATACTTATGGCTTATGATTTCAAATCAGTTATAATTATTCCTGGAGATAAGGCTACCATAACCCAAAGTAAATAATGCTTTAAGTTTTTTAAAAGAAGAAAGGGGATGTCAAACTATGAAAAAATAAAGAACTGAGGGTAGATGAGAGAGATTATGCTTTAAGAATCCCTTTACTCACTGTCGTTTCATATAGCTTTAAAGGCTCATGCTGAAACCACAAATGAAATCGTCAGTATCAATGAGTACTTTGGGATAGAGTAGCTTTTTGAAGATGATTTTTAACTGATTACTTTTTAAAAAATTGCCTTTGAAGTGGTATCATTAGTTTTTTCTCTGGTTGGATATTCATAAAGGAAAGGAGTTAGAGGTCAGTTCTTACAGAAGATAGTAAATTAATCTCTACACTGAATAGAAGTCTCAGAAAAGAGCAGAAAGACAACATCTGTAGGTAAGGGAACCAGCTGCTCTTGTTCAAGCCAGGAGAGTTCACGGCAGCTGGGTTTGTGTGTAATTGCTAGAGGGAGCTCGGGGAGCACTGGGGACTTGGGGAGACAGGAAGCTGTCCATTTAATGTGGAAGCCGAGTGAGATTTATTTTTGTGTCAATGTCGAGTGCGCCTAGCTTTCCCCAGCACAGACTATACAACCCCCCTCTCTTTTCTTGAAACTTTTCCTGCATGGATGCCAGATCTGTGATGCAAAAGCAGGAGAACCGGTAGAAAGTGGCTCAAGTAAAACTTCCAAATTCAGCATCTTGGAATGAGGAGAGGTTAAGGAGTGGAGGTATTTAGCATCTGAGGTAGCTGAAAGGGTTGAGACTGCTGGGGGTCAGGAGACCAGTCCTTTGATAATTTTTGCCGTGGGTCATGATTGAGATCTCCTTTAATGTTATCTGAAGGCTACAGGTCAAGAGTACAGTTCCTTCTTGCAGACTCTGGTAGCTCCACTTTGCTTCCTTGACTGCTGCTCCTCACAGGAACTGGAATTCTTGTGGCCCCTTGCATTTAGCATACTAACTCAGAATCAGTTCATCTCATTGGACAGCAATCATTTCTTTAGCACTTACCATGTACCAGATGTGTTAAACATTATGCTTGCCCCCCTGGGATTTGATGGTGCTCATCAGTCCTATCAAACTGAGTAAAGACAAAAGGAGGGAAGAAGGTGGGGAGAAGCTGTAGAACAAAAGAGAAAGGGATAATAACAAGTAAGGCAGAAAAATCTGAGCTCCTCATTGTATGCTCACATGGCCATTCAGGACTTGGCCTCTGACTTCCTCTGCAGACTTAGTCCTTGCTACCAGTGCATATGCACACATATAAATACACACACACACACACACCACCACCACCACCACCACCACCACCACCACCACCACCACCACTGAGCTAGGTCATGCTGAGCATGTTTTAGCCTCTCATGCATGTCATGCTCCCAGTCACCTCCAGGTCTTCAAATTCACTGTTCCTTCTTCTTAGAGCCCACTCTCCCAACACCTCCTCACCTGGGTAACTTCCAAGCACCCTTTAAGTGTGAGTTTAAATGCCTTTTCTTCTTGGAAGACTTAATTGATACACTAGACTCAATTGTCTATTCCTGCCATGAGCTCCTATAATAGTGTCTCGTGTCCTCATTCAGATCACCCAACCGATATAGTGCTTGGTTGTCCGTGTCCTCTGCAAGAGTAATCTCTGTGAGAACAAGGACAGGAGAGGGGGAGTTGCATTGCTCATTCTGGTACCCCCTAATGCAAAACAATTCTCAGCACATAGTAGACTCTCAAAAACTACCTCATAATTTGGCTGCTCCCAGATCACTCCTTCAGGACTGAGACATTCGTTCCCCTGATCTGCTGGGAATGTGGCCTTGTGATGACTCACACCTGA